GGACGAAACACTTGTTTGGGGGATAAAAATTTTTTAAGACTCGAATGTATTCGTATAGAATTAGATGGAAAAATTAAATGCCTGATAAAAAAAGTTTCCTAAAATCCTAATTTTGATGTAGAATTATTTTTTACAAAAAATCGTTGTGCAAAATAACTGTTTTAATTAAGGAAATTGGATTTTAACAGACCACCCAGGTAGTCCCTCTTGTCCAATTTACGCTGGAGATGCGTAATAAATATACGAATTGGCGACTTGTATCAAAAAAAAAAAAAAAGTTTTATAGTCTTCGGAACGGTATGTTGTACGTGTTCTTCTAATACACATCCTGCATAATATACGCATTCTTATAACGCGCTCTGCGTTCCTTTGGGAATGGCTCGCTTCCCAAATGAAAGTAGATCAAAACAAGTTCGAGAAGAGTGAGGAGAGCAGAAAGAGGACCCACAGGTAAAAAGACTCACGTGCGTCGATCGTTTTATATATGCGACAGGATTTATCGGTCCTTCGATTTTGAGCAGTGAGCGCGCACTCTCCCTCTCTTTTAAAAGATCCTGCGGTCTGATTATCCACAGTTCTCGTGTTGGGTATAAATACGGCTTCCAAAAGATCGTGAGAGAGTATATACCAAAACAACAAGAAATTTCATCTTTTTTTCTTTATAGTTATATATTTCTTTTCTTTGTGGAAAAAAACGGTTGTTTTTGTAGATAATTTGATGAACTTTAAGGTTATATTAACCATAAGGTTACACTTAGGTAGAAGTAAGATTAAGCCTATGGATTAAGGTTGTATTAGTTTAGAAGTAGGGCGAGTCCTAGTAACTATAGAACTATAATGATAGGTCAAACCAAGTCAGAAGTAGGGTTTACCTAAAGTTACTTTGGTTTAAATCATTAGGACCAAGAAGCCTTAGTATTAGCTAATGATCTAAGGTTACATCGGGCCTGAACTTAGGTCAAGACTTAGAAGAAGAACTGGGTCTAACCTTATGACTTATCGTAAGGTTACATTAGACATAAAAATTAGGTGAATAAAGTTACAATAGGTCTAAGGTTTAAAATTGTGTTAGGCCTAACTCAGCATAGCCAAAACAAGTAGAACTAGGTCTTAATGAGAATACATCAGTTCTATAAGCTATGCGGTTACTTTAGGCCTAAATTTTGTCCAAGCCAAGGTTGAAGTAAGGCTAGGCCTAAACCATTATGTTGCATTAGGTTCTAATTTTGGATTAGGTCTAAGGTTGCATTAGGCTTCATGTTGCATTAGGTTTGAGGCTAAGATTTAATTAGGCCTAACCTTCTGTAATTAGTTACAGATTAGCCTACGTTTTTAAGTTGTATTAACAAAAGGCTAGGCCTACTTTAAACCTTATAGGTTAAACCTAAGTTTTAGTTCTGTTACCCTTAATTCCAAAACGTGATAAAAGTATAAACTATGTCCAAAATTCAGATAGAATTTTGTGAAGAATTAATTTATTAATAAGGTTGTCTAGAAAGTGTATTATCATTTTTGTGAGTATGGTGATCAGGAAAGGTAGTTTTTCTTAATGAATGTTCTTAATAGCTATTGGATGAACTAGATGCATATTTTTCGGTCGCTTGAGGCTACTAAGGGAGAGATGATGATGGTATAGAGAATGAAGAAAAAGACAAGTGAGGGTATTTATATATGAAAAAGAGAAGAAGAAGAAGAAGGTGCAGGTGCTTCCTGCCTTTATTGGTCAACTTCGCGCCATTGCTTCTATATATTTGAAGCCGCTTACTCTGCATAGCATTATCACCCATTGGCGAAAAGCATCTCGTTCGTCATCGAGCCGTCGATCGTATCGAAACTCTATATATATATACATATAGAGTATGCATTACTATGTACAACTTTAGTCTTGACGCGTGCGGGGAATGTGAGTAGCCATCGCCTCTTGAATTTATCATTGCAAATTGCCTTCAGATCTGTTTCTTTTCTTTGATAAATTCCCATTGATTAGAAGATTATATTTCCATTTGATATTTATCTTCATCATTCTTAAATATGTATAGTAGTGCTAAAAATTAGTTTTACACGCACTTTGGAATGACAAATTTTTATATACCAAAAATACGGTAATAATTAGAGATAGAAGTTAGAGTTTTTGATAGAGAAAATATACTTTTCAGGAGGATATTGGATTAAATCAATTGAGGTTTTATGTATTTTTTATAGATATGAAGACGAGTTGGCATATGGCGATGTCAGGATAAACATTTTGAAATGAAGTCAGTCGTTAGAACTGTTCACTGTGTTGCAAATTCCTTGTGTCAATGTCATTAAACACAAGGAAGGACGACTGCTCTTGGTCCTTGCTAATTGGAAGAAGTCACTTTATCGACGATGCAAAAGCTCGGTCTCTCTCTCTCTCTCTCTCTCTCTCTCTCTCTCTCTCTCTCTCTCTCTCTCTCTCTCTCTCTCTCTCTCTTTCACTTGCTTTCTCTCTCGCAGTGCCGCGAGCATTCATGAGATAATGTACAAAAGAAGTTGTACAAACAGACAAAAGGAACAGAAAATACTGCATATCGACAGTAAAACAATTTATGCCTATACCTTTTCTTTAGCATTGCATTCTTAATACTGGATGCATATAAATATTTTTAGCAATGACTTTTTAATTTCTTCATTTGAAAATTCATCTATTTACTGCTAATTACTATTATTTATTTATTTCTATTATTATTATTATTATACTAATAACAAAAAAATAATTATTATTATCATTACTGGAAATGTGGTTTTAAGAATCATCTCATTAAGAAAAAGATCACTTTTTTTTGTGCACAACCTTCAACGGGTTTAGGTGCCCGCATCTGATAAAAGTTGAAAGTCGTGTCATGAGTGAGAAAGGCGTAAAATGCATTTCGTGCAAGCTAACAATTCGAGTAACTTTAAATTGGTTCTTATTTAGTCTTAAAAATGCTCATAATTTTCCTTTTTTTTTGGAGAAAAAAAAGAAAGAATTCGTCTTTTGGTGCAAAAAATTTTTTCATAGCATCTGCTCTCGTGTCATCATTTTTTGGTACATCTGTCTAATTGGCTTACATAAATGTATGACGATGATTGCTGTCATGGGGGACGAATTTTATTCTCATCTTTTGTCGCAAAATTTGATCGCGATCATCACCGGAACTACTTGATGCGCAATTGCGAAAATACCATGAGCGCGCAAGGACAAAGAATATATATTGTCATATATACCTATACTATAAGGCAGATGGTCATTACTCAAGGAAGTGTTATCTCACTTTGTTTAAAAGGCTTTTACTTATTTATTATTCGCATATGATTGTAATTGATTAATAATTAATTCGTTAATTGATGTAATTAATTATTCTTTTTTGCACTGTAAAAAAAATGTTATTTGATTCAAATAATCGATTACTTATTATTAAATAAATATTTACTTGAACCAAATAATTTTTATTTGAATCAATAATTTATGTATTTAAAACAAATACCATTTAATTGATTTATATAAAAATGATTTGGTTCAAGTAAATATTTATTTGATAATAATAAAAATAAATAAATATTCTCAAATATGAATTTATATTAATAAAAAATTTGGCTAAATTAAAATTTGGCCATTTAAAATACAATCTATTAAAAAAAAATTTTTTTTTGCATAAAATTTTATTATAATTAATACAATCAACACTCTGTGCTGAAAATCAATTATTTTTTTTAGAGTGTGTTTTTAGTCTTTCCTTAATGAATATTGTTCCAACAGTTGATCTTCCCTTCTTTCACTGTTTGAAAATTATATATAATCATCGTATTTCCGTTCTGAAATGCAAATTTTTTCCCATTCTCATGAACTCAACACCTCGCTTCGGAAATATTCGGAGTCTAATAACTCTTTTAATTAACAGATCATAGGATTTAATAAACTGATCGTAGGATTTAATGAACGAATTCTATATATGAATATGTATAAAGTGACTTGGCGCGTTGCGATTATAACTATATATATATATATATATATATATATATATATATATGTTGGGTTTAGTGTGGAACGTCATTGCCACCTGTCGCATCCGGATAAGGAAAGAAAAATAAAAAGAGAAGGGAGAAAGAGAAATAAGAGGGAAAAAAAAAGTTTTAGAGGGTGAGTGCGAAACCATTGGAAGGAAGAATATAATAAAAAAAAAAGAAAAGAAACACACGAGGAGTCATTATTTTTTAGGCAATTTACTTTCATGCTAAACAGCTGCGTCGAAGCGAGACGACGTGAGGCATTTAGAACCGCGCGATTTCCATTCTCAATAATCGATGGTCATATATGTCCAGTAGGTTGTGTGTGTGTGTGTGTGTGTTGCAAATTCATTATTTTTTTTCTTATCAGTAAGTCTCTGTCAAATAATTGACGTTCTTTTCGATTCTGAATGTGATGCATGTAAATTACCTTTTCTTCTTGTCACACAGTGTGTTTCTTTTTTTTTTTTTTTTTTTTATTTTACTTCCTTGACAGCCAATCGATTCGCATGTCCATTATATATTCAAGTTTGTCATATCGTTTTCTTACCTTTTACGATTGTCTCATTTTTTTTCAATCTGTATTTTTCTTCGTTCATCCTTAATTTTTTTTTAAACCCTTATTTTGGGCAAATAAAATTAGAAAATTGTTTTTTTCCATGCATATTTTTGTTAGACATTTTAATTTGGCCACAAATAAAAATATGAAAAAAAATTAAATGTTTAGAATATGTTTGAGGAAATTTTCTCCCCCCCCCCTAGATTTATTTATTCAAGTTTTTTTTTTAATTTCAAATTTTTGAGATTAAATGTGGGGTGATTAATATTTTTTTTAATTAAATTATTCATCGTTTGAAATATATTTATAGGGATAATTTCCCAAACATATTGATAATTCTAATTTATATTTTAAATTTTATTTATGTATTTGTTTATTATAATAAAGCAATTAAACGAAATAAAATATCTAATTTTTATTTTAAATTTTCTAGGTGTTCCTGAAAGAAGAATTTTCAATGACAATTAGTGTTCGACTGATATTGGAATATTTTGAAGCCAGTGGCTGCTATTTTTTACTCTTGAAGATATAACTGGATAATTCTTTAATTTATTGACAACATGGTGAGATAACTCTTATTTCATAAAGTTGTATTTTTATTTTTTCATTATTTAATTATTTTATTTTTATTATTTTTTAAATTAATAAATAATTAATTTTTTTTATTCAAGTTTTTTCTGAAAAATTTCAAATTTTTTAGATTAAATGTTGGGTGCTAAATATTTTTTTAAACAGTTAAAATTATTGATTGTTTGAAATATGTTTAGGAATAATTTACAAAAAATATTGATAATTATTATTTTTATTTTAAAATTCATATATTTTTGTTCATTACAAAAAAGCAATTGAACGAAAAAAAATATCTAATTTTTATTATAAATTTTCTAGGTGTTCCTGAAAGAAGAATTTTCAATGACAATTATTGTTCGACTGATATTGGAATATTTTGTAGCCAGTGGCTGCTATTCTTTACTCCTGAAGATAAAATTGGATAATTCTTTAATTTATTGACAACATGGTGAGAGTATTCTTATTTTATAAAGTTGTATTTTTAATTTTTCATTATTTAATTATTTTATTTTTATTGTTTTTTAAATTAATAAATAATTAATTAAATAATTTCATAATTAACAAGTACAATTCAAATTTTCAATACATAATTAATTAATTAATTAAAATTTTTAAATCTTAATAGATTTTTAAAAAATTGTTAAAATGATTTTTTTTAGATGAAAAATTGAATTTATATTAATTGTTACTTATTTTATTCTTTATTATAACTAATGTTATTAAACTGAATGTTATTCAACTATTTTTTAATTTTTTTTTTTTTTTTTGCTGAAATGAAATCGTAAGTTTATATTTTTGTTACATCTGAACTCCGATTTCGGGAACAATACTCAGAATCGTATATATATATTTCGTTTCTTTTTTCGCCTCGTACGCAGTGAATGGCGCATTTGCGAACTTTTTTTTTAGAATTTGGCTTTCGTTGTCGGACGGAAACATACGTGTTTGATTTTTTTACAACATTACATTTCACGTTATGGCTCGGAAACAACACACCGCCTGCCGGTACAGTAATAAAAAGCGCTCGTTACTGGCAACAGTTGTCTGTTTTCTCGCGGTCTCTGAGCAAACTAAGCTGCCTTGAAGCTTTTGCCAGAGAGATAGAGAGAGAGAGAAAGAGAGAGCATAACGCAGCTGTTACCTCTGCTAGTTGCCGCTTTTACGCCAACTTTACGAATGTTATTGCAAGTCAATTAATCCTCAGAACTTAGTTATCGAATCTCATTCAGTAAATAAATAACCGTGCTCTCTCAGAAAAATGGCTTTCATTTTATAAAGTCATTTTTGTTAAATACCTCTCGATATGCATAAATATATTTTTTTTCAACGTTTTATTAATAGTCAATTCGAAAAAAATTATATATTTATTTTATTTATTTATTAATTTATTTATTTAAAAAATTAAATAAAAACTATAACGATTGGTTAAGAAAATTTTCATTTAAAAAATAATTTTTATACTAAATATTCAAGTAACAAATAATTTATTTTATAATTGAATAAAATAATTAATAATTTATTTAATAATTTAATAAAATAATAAATTATTTATTTATAATGACTATTTAATAAAAAAAATATTAATAACTTGCTGCTATTTATTTTATAAAAAAGTTAATAAAAGAATTAGTTATTAAATCAATTAAATTTTTTTACTTTAATATAAATTTATTTAATGAAGTAATTTTTCAATAGTCAATTTTTGAAAAGTAATAATATTTAAGTAATTGAATCTATTAACTAATTAATTAAAGAATTGATATAAAATTTGCTCAATTAAAAATAAAAAGTACTTATTAATTAATAATTCATTTATTTTAATAAATAATTTTAATTTATTAAATTATAATTTATTTTATTATTAATTTATTATTTATTTAATAGTTTATTAAAATTTGCATAATTAACAAGTGCAACTAAAACTTTAAATACATAATTAATTCATTTACTAAATTCAAATAGTTTCTTAAAAAATTATTAAAATGATTCGTTTAGTTCAATAATTTAATTTGTATTAATTATTATTTATTTTATTCTTTATTATAGAAATGTTATGAACAAGTTTGGATAAAAAGATATTAGGATATTTTATTTTTTATTATATTTATATATTTATAAACGACTCGCAATAAATTTAATTTAATATAATTAAATATTATTTTTTACTTTTTTAAACGTTCGTTATAAAAAATTACGTTTATTCTAATAATTTTCCACTTAATTTTATTTTTTGAAATACATTTTAGTTCAATATTGTTATTTGAATATATGAAATATTAGCGGCCATTTGAAGTAGCCAATAAGAGCGTCGCATTCCATACCACGTGATTACTGTGCAATATTCTCGCCATTTCCGGGTGTGCGTGCAAAAAGGTCGGATCGTGTCGTTATTATCAGAGTAATTTCTTCCTCTTTTCCTGTAAAAATGTCATTCTTTTACAAATTTTCTTTTATTTTCTTAATTAGTTAGTGAAAATGATTAATTATGTATAATATTCGTGACTTGTTCTATTGAAAATTGCAATAATTGAGAGAATCGAAAAATCGACTAACATCGCGTTATATATTATAAAATATCGAAATATTTCTCCCGCATCCGTTAATTATTTCGGTAAAATCGAGTGAAATTGGTATTAATCCTGAGTTGTGGTTAATTATTAATTTAATATTAATTAATATGTAAGGTTAAAAAGTATATATTGTTGACCACGCCATCTTGTTCCGCGTTCCGCCTTGTCCAAGTTCATAAGTTTATTTCCTGTTAGGCGGGCGAACGTCGGTTAGTCTCAGAGAGCAAAAACTGTATTTTTACCGTGTTTTATTTAGTAATCTAATGTTGTTTTTTTGATAAATCGTTAATTATTTGATGAGTTTAAGTAAATGTGATAATAAATTACGTATTTCGGTTTCGTGAAATAGTGTCAAATATCGGATTTCGCGTCCTAACCTAAAAATGTCGTGTCGCGAGCAAAAAAAATTTCGTGATTGCAAATTAGAATCGGTATTAATTATCACGATTAGTTTTTTGATAAAGAATGATTGTTTTTTTTAACGTTTTTATCAAGTTTATGTAAATTTTTCTAGATTTTTCGATTAATATATAATATTTTCCGACTTTCGCCACGTTCGCACACCAGGAATTTTTTAATTTTTTTCTTGCCCACCCTTTTAAGTTTTTTTGTATATTTTATATTGTTTTTTGTAGTAAATTAAAAGTGTTTATTATTTAATTTCAAATTTGTCCCCTAACCTAAATTTTATGTCGAGTCAGTGTTAGTGTATTGTTGAAAATAATTTCGCATTATTGGCGGCCACTCCATGTTATTGTTTTTGCTATACCGATTTTTATAAAGGTGAATATTTCCTATAATTTCCCAATTTTTTCGTATTTGTTTTTCGATACACATGTATTATTTTATTATTATTTTACACATTATTTATAAATAATGTTGTAAATTAACAAAAAAAATTTTTTGAATTATAATTTTCTAACCTATATGTATAACAAATTTGCATAGAATTAAGAAGATGATAATTCTAATTTCTATTTTAAATTGTAATTATGTATTTGTTAATTTTAAAAAATTAAAACGATTGATCGAAATAACAAAATATCTCATTTCTATTATGAATTTATAGGTTATTCTGGAAGAAATAATTTTGATGACAAATTGAGTTCTGATTGGAATCAAATGCAGTTTTCGTTGACATGAAACTGAATAATTCTTCATTTTAACAACAACATGGTGAGTTTGTTTTTATAACCTAAAAATTTGCATTTTATATTTTATTTTCCACGTTATGAAAAAAAAGATGTGTTAATTTAAGGAAATTTAATATGTCTTTGATTTTATAAGTTTTATTTTTACAATTTTCGTTTCGTATAGAATAATGAAGCGATATACTGATTATAAAAACATGACAATGTTTTAGAAATTCTTGAATTTTTTAATCAGCTTTTTCAAAATATTAACTTTTTTGGAAGTATTTCCAGAATATTACTCTTTTTTTTAAAAAAAGTCTTTTGCCTAAACTTAATTCTTCGATTATTTCTTATTTTTTTAAAAAAATATTTTTATTCGAAAACAATTTTTTTTTAATAATTTCAATTAAATATCAAAAGTGTTTTTTTTAAATCTCTAATGCATTTAAATCACCAAAAAATTGTTTGAATCTTTTAATTATTTCAATTAAATTTTATTTTATTAAATTAAATTATGTGAATAATATAAATAAATAAATAAAAATTCATTCAATTAAGATTCTGCAAACATTTAAAAATTAATTAATTTAATTAAATTATTATTATTATTATTATTTTATATAATAATATTAATTATATTATATAATGATAATTATGATAATAATATTATTAAATCAAATTGAATTAATTAAAAATTAGTTTAAATTTTTCCAAATTAAAATAATTTATCTGTTTATTTGTTTTAATTTTTCTTTAATTTCTTCTGCTTCGAGTATTTAAAAAAAAAAATTGTTTTTGTCAAAAATGTGAAGAATTTTTTTTTATAGTAACAAATAAAATTGATTATGAGCACATATGCGCCGTGAAAATAAAAAAAATTTATAAATTTTGAGATAAAAATTCTTGTGTGTATACCAATATCGTTAAAGAAAAAATAAATAAAAAAAAAAAAAAAATGAAAATGCCGCGCGATAAATGAAGAAACTCTGAAAGTCAATTTGCAAGGTTAACTCTATACTCGCGTGTAGATTTGCAATTAAATTGTCAACGGGAAGGTCCATTCACGCTGCATTAGCAATGTAATTGGTCGAGATTAAAGCGAATGTTTCTTTAATGTAGTAAAAGTAAATATCGGTATATCCTGAAGAGCTCGACTAATAACCCGCGGCGGTCCACTATATATATATATAAACAGGAACTTATAATTTATATATAGAGTAATATTCTGGGAACAAACATTGATTATCATTATTATATAGAGACGCGCGATATATACACCTATGGTTGCAAATATACATCCGGTTAGTTACTTTTTACTGCAATTACTGTAAGGTAAACATTCTTGTTTTCTATTTTTTTTTTATTTTTATATATCGAGTCTCTCGCCGCAACGAATATCGTTAGCGTTTAACGATCTAGTAATGAGACATACCTTATTTTGCGGAAATCGGTGAGTGATCGTTAACACAAGAAATATGTGAGATCGCAACTTATAATGAATAATCGGTTATATATATATATACACAAAGTCTAGGATAGGGATGAAAAGTCTACATTTTATGTCGATTATAACTCAACATCAAATGCTTACCGATAAATTATATTTCTAATAGACCTTAGCTATTATTTTCGAAAGTATATATATATATATATATATATACTATATACTGTATTTGCTATTTCTATTTTATTAATTATCGTTTCTTTATGAATTATCGTTTTTTCTAAACTGGAAATCAACCTTTTACAATTGCGCAAGTTTTTTTTTTTTTTAGAAAAAAAAATTTCTTTCTTTTATTAGCTGACGTGAGAAATTTGTTTTAGAATTGAAATTCATGTATAGGAAAAATTAGGTTTATTTAATTTTTGCAAAGAGAATTTAGAGAATTTTATTTATTTATTTAAATTTAATTATGCTTTTTTTTCGAATTAAAATTGGAAAAGTTAAAAAAAAATTTGTTTCTTTTCTTTTGCAATAAAACTTTTGCTTTTTGTAATGACAAAAAGAAAATTAAACAAATCAAATTAAATAAGGTTACTTAAATAATTTTGCGTTTATAATTTTTAATAATAATATTTATGGCATTATTAGTAATTATTTGCTTTTGTTTCGTAGAATTTTATGCATTTTTTTTCATACTTTTCTATATTTTTTAGAAATGTAACTGAAATAAAATTTTTAATGCAAAAAAAAATCATTGTTTAGAAAAATTAACATTTTTAATATTAAAAAAAATGAATTCTCAACGAATTTGATGGTATTTATTAGTTTTTGTTCTCGGTAACATAATCAACTTTAGAAACATATTATTTTTATTGTAATGTTATTTTTTTCATTTTTCTTTTTTTTTCCTCTCGTTTACTTTTACAAATTACTTACTCTCGTAGGATGAATGTTTCAAATAAAGTGAAATCGTATAAGGCAATGTCGTTTGGTACAGACGGTGTTACCATAGAGATAAGAATGAAGTTTGCTGAACACTAGTTTCATCCGGATGGTAATATACTTATCTGTTACGAAAATATTTTCCCATCCAATTTAATATATATGGAAGTAGCAAATTGTTAATTTTCATCTCGATAAGAATTGTTTTTTCTTTCGTTACCCCCATTTTTGCAATGAGTGCAATTATCTTTGTTTAATTAATGTTTCATTAAATATATATATATATATATATATATATATATATATATATATATATATATATATATATATATATATATAGGTTGCTTGAATTTCGTAATAGGAAAAGGTGACTTGAAGTCAATATTGCTTATTATTACATGGAAGTAATTGCTTTTGAATTGAGTCGCAACACGTTTTAATATCCCAACATTTTATCCATAAAAAGTCTTTATTGACGGAACTTTTCTCGATCGTTATTATAAAGTGAATCGAGCGTGTCGGGATTAACACTCAATTCTAAATACGGAGATATCTGTTATATACGAACACACAGAATCAACTTATAATCGCCAATATATATAAACTGAAAATCTCCTACGTGCTATAATGTTGAAACGTTTAAAATCCTATTTTGATCGATATTTTGATTAATTTTTAATCCATCTTTGGTTGGCTATTACTTTTCTTTCTCAGCTTCTATATATAATTCTTTTAGAAATACATACTTCCTGATTTATTTACTTTTATATAATTTGTATATGAAAGTTGAACACCTATTTTAGATCTTCTCCTTTCTTTTCTTTTAGAAAAATTTTTTCCTGCTTTTTGGAATTTTGATCAAATAAAAATTGTTCTTAAATTTTATTATATTTATTATTTTGTTGTAATGTCGTATACACAGACACACGCATAATTTTTTTTATGTATATATATAAAAGTTCAATGAACCCTTTTCTCTTTGAAAATGGCGAACGCAACCCGGAATTCTCAATAAAGTCACTGACACGAAGAAAGAGCAAACATCGAGACTCAAACAACTTCTTCGGACACGTACCGAGCGCTGAAATATGCGAAAACAGATTTATGTTTGTTGAGGACGCGACTTCTTCATTACGGATAGCTTCTGAATTCAGAAGCTTGAGATTCTTACCGAAAAATTGAACGCAGATCTTCATTATCTCAAAGAAATATAATTTAGAAAAAAAAACCCTCTATTTAGATCAATTGTCATGAAACATTTTTTTAGAGTATCTAAATTTTTGTTTAAAACAATTTTTTTTTTTTAAATAAAAAAAATAAAAGCGGAAATTGATTCAATTCGTTTCCGCGAAGGATTTATGCAGTATGCGCAAAAGATAAGAGTTTATATCTTGTTATTAAAATGAGTCTTACGATTTAAAATTCAGCTCGCGTGACATTAATTTTTCCGACTTTAATTGGCGTCTGCTCCACTCATCTCTCTCGTAAAATGCGTTATAGGGATCTTATCTGGAACAGATCTAATGGCTCTTGTGTTACAAATCCCGATCGATGCTTTTTCTCTCTCTTTATCTTTTTTTTTTAACTCTCTCTCTCTCTCAAGATCTCTGAGATTGAGAATTTTGCACGCATGTTATATTCGTCGACATTTTAGCAAAGCGTGTGTAAAGTACAAGTTTTTCATCAGTTCTTGTGTAGAAGTCGAAGGAGAGACTTGCATGATCCTCTTGGCAAGATTCGCTTATATATATGTACACTCGAATCACGATTATGATATCCTGCTGACAGCAGCCCCAAGGCAAAACGAAGCCATCGCTTTTCATCTACTTTATAATCCACTTTTCATATAGTAAACGAAATTTTTCGCGTTTATCAAAAAAAAAAATAATAATAATAATAACATAAGAAAAATCGTAATTGAAACTTTACTGCCTTTGATTATCGGGAGATTTTTACCGAACTAAAATGTAAAAATTAAACTATTTAGTAAATTAAATAATAATAATAATAATAATAATAATTTTCTAACTTAATTTTAAATTTAGTATAAAGAACTTATTTAATACAGTTGCAATAGTATTTTTATTTTCAATTTTAAAAATGTAATAATTACGTTGTAAATATTTTATGACATTTATATTAAAAAGTATTTTTATACATTTATTTAAAATTTTCCGAGTTCCAATTATAAATCTTGAGAGAATCTAGAAATGAGAATTTTTAAAATTGCATAAATATTTGAAAAAGTTGTGGAATTAAAAAAAAAAAGAGTTTTCAAGGATTACGGGAAATTATAAGTTATATCAACTAAATTATAAGTATTTTGTAAGCAAGAAATAGATAGGATTTTTTTGTTTGTTATGAATTGAATGTCATTGCGTAAAGAAATTTTTCAAGACGTTTAAAAAAAAAAACAACTAATGTATTGTAAATATAAAAATAATATTTATAGAAAATAGCATTATGCGTAAATTGTATATTAACGCTTATTAAGATTTGTAGATTTTTTTTTGGCCTTTTAATGCAGTTGAAAAAAATATTTTTAAAAAAAAGTATTTTAAAAATAAAAATTAACTTTATTTTTTCAAATTAAAATTAATGATTTTATTATATTTATATTGAAATTGAGATTGCAAAACATTAATTATTATTAGTGAAAGGAGAATAAAAATTCATTGCTACCAGATGTGAATGGTAAAAAATTTGCTTACCCACGATGAACTGATAAAAGTGGTAAACATATAATATAATATATCGCTCGAGTCTTCTGACGTAGTTACGTTTAAAACTTGAAAACACCTGAGTACATCTGGATGTTTACTATAGCGCCGTTTCTTTAAAGAATTCCTGATAACCTGCATTGTCTATATATGCCAAACACACATGTCTTTCTTAAAACACACCCACATATCGCAGATGCGAACTCAAACATGACTTAAACCAGTTCTCGACTCATTTGTGAAGAAGAAAAAAAAAAAAAAAGCTTTAGTGGTAATTAATTCGTAGTCTTGAGAAATCATTCTGATTGTGCAATCGTTACAAGTGCCTCAAAAAATATATTTCTTTTTTTAATTCTTCCAATTATTTTTATTATTTTTTTTCTCTTTTGACTAGATTTTACTAACTTTCGTTTTATTTATGCAATTTCGTGAGAATTTATAATAATTAATTTAATTATGTTACGTGATTTAAAAACATAATTAAATTGAAAGTTACCACATTACGATCTATATTAAACAATGAAACAATCTTTTTTTATTTATTAATTATTATTATTATTATTATTATTATTATTGAAATCAGTAAATTAATATCTACTGATTTGTTTTAACAATAGTTTCAAATCATTTTTAATTAAATGTAAAGTAACATAAAGTCATAGCTAATCTATATAGGAGAGAAAGATTTTCACTTACTTAAAGAATTTGTTCATTCAAATTTATTTATTTAAATTTATTCTAATAATGCTATTAAAATAATTTTTTGTTTTGCATGTCAATAAAAATGTGGCGATAGTATTTTAATCGAGAAAATAAACTAGTTGAAACGCGAAACAATTTATTACATTCTGTGATCCAATAAGATTAGCAACTTGTCGGGAGTGTTGATCGATACTCCAGATGTATCGATTGCGCCGTCATAAATAAGTTGAAAATTATTATTATTATTATTATTACAGTTACCATTTCTTCATAACAGGTACAATTTACTAAAACGATCTTGTTCTGAATAATTTATTTAATTTTTATGTTATTAAACTGTATTATAATTATATGTATAATTATATATATATATATATATATATATAATTATAATAATAATCATTATAAAAATGAAAAAAGTTACTTGAAGTTCATGAATCCCTGCTCACGATTTACTTATTGTTAGTTTTGTTATTGAATTTTATTTTAAAACCCCCGAGAAACCAGTTTTAGGCAAATCAAAATGATCTTTAAATTTCCGACCGCCATTTTGGATCCGCCATTTTGAATTTTGGAAAACTGATCATTATTACTGTTTGCTGTAAAAGAGATAGGGTATCGAAAAAAATGAGTCCAGTAATTTCAAGTAAATTCCACCTTTATTAAGTTGAACTTTTTGATTGAATTGTGAGGTTTTTTTCTTATTTAATAAAAAGGTACATACAGGACATCCATCGGACGCATCACACCGCCTTTTTCAGGCAAAATACATACATGTTCACATAATGTATATAATATATTTATTTATATAATATAATATATATATTTTTTTTATCTGAATAACTATGAATACTACAAACTAATTACAAATTTTCTATATTCATAACGCGATAAAAAGGCTATGACGGCGATTTTTATTTATTTACATATAAACAATTATTACAACGATAAAAATTTCGCGGCTCAATTTTTCTTTTTTTTTTTTAATTTACCTCTCAACATATTTAACACAAACATACACATACACAAAGACGCATCATATAGAAAAAAAATGCAATCTTTCTCTCGCTCTCTTCAGTCATCAAAGCCACAAGTTTGTACTTGGCATTCAGTCGTTGACCAATTTGTTGGAAGTATAACGATTTCTCGCACGATTCCTTTATAACACACGCGCGCTCGTGACGCTACTAACAAATTAGTTTCTCTTTCCTTTTAATTAAAAATAAAAAAGATGTTATGAAATTTGACTAATTTAAAGACAAGGAATTTTTTTTAAAGCTATTAAAGTTGGACTTGGATTTTTTTTTGAAAGGATTTTCAAAATAGTTTACGTTTTTTTTTACATTATTTGAAGACGAAGATTTTTAAGAAGACAAATAGATGATTTTTCTGTGCTTTATTTCTAACGGTTGTTGACATTTTTTTTTTTTTTTTTTATATTTTTTTATTTTTATTGTCTAGATATTGAAATGGAATAAGTTTGATAAGAGTAGAGAGAAGAAAACCACAGCTCTGACAAAATTCTTCCACTATCAGAGCTATTTAGAAAGGATTAGATTACTTCATTAAATATTGTCAAGCATATCTGGCACTGATTTATACATCTAACTTAACACTTAGGCAAGTTGGCGAGCACAGCTTTTGAGCATCTTGGAGAGTTAAAAGGTAGGTCAGGTAAAAGAGACTCCAAATGGCTTTGAGAAATTCCAAAATTTTCACCTTCTCAAATTGGAATTTCCATATTGACTATTGAATTAGATCTTGATTTTTGTATTTAAATTTTGTCTAATTCAGAATGTTGAATTGTTAAAAAAAGCTATTCGTCTTTCTTTTTCCTGAGTTTACCTTCAGTTTGTATTGTTTTCGAAACAAGATCCACACATGCGCCAAGAGAAACATTATTCTCGGGTTCTCCCTCGGGTGTATTGACTATTTTACTGAGGGTCATGATGTAGCTACACGCGATCCTCAATACAGAGAGCTTGGAAAGTTTTTGATTGTGTGAATAGGCGGGTATTGCTCGTCTCAGTGTATCGAAAGCAGCGCTTATCGTGTGCACTCTCGTACGTTCACGTGCATTCGCTTCTATCCTACGTTCGCGGGTCATATTTTTGTAATTTCGCTGTTGACCGTTTTGATGATGATGCCTCTCGTGATGATCATTTGATGTCGTCTGAGATGGTAAGACATGATCCATGTGATAGGTCGATGGCCTTTCAAAAGAGCCACCATTTACCGCTGGATGGGAAGGTACACGAGGAACATCACCACGAAGAACTAGAGATAGAGGTTCTTCCTGGAGCCTTGGATGAGGAAGAATAACTGATACTGGAGGAGGTGGTGGTGGTGGAAGAGGTGGTTCAAACCTTTGACGGGATTCTCGCCTTTGACCAGAGTAGACAGAGGAACGAGTTGAACATTCGGATGGTGATATGGGCCTTCGATTCGATTCGTGGAGTCTTTGGAGAACCTCCTCTTGAATTCTGGCTTCGTATCTTCTTTGTGCTTCTTCTTGGAGACATCTTTCTTTTCGTTTTTCTTCTTTTTCCTCTTCTTCTTCTTCTTGCTCTCGCCTCAGTTCGAGTCTCTTTTGTTCCGGTTTCTTCTCCTCGTGATTCTTCTTGTCGTTATCCTTTGCCTTCTCGTCGACCTTGAAACAGGAAATAACAGCCATGGGTTTTTTAGATTCGGGTTTTGTCGATGTACTCCAGGGCCTGAATGGACTAGGTGATGGAGAAGGTCGGCTTTCTTCGTCAGCTTCCTGAAGTAATTCGAATCTTCGACGCTTTTTAAGGGGTGCAGTACTTGGTTCTAGGATTTTTCGTGGTTCCGCTAATTTACGTTTATTTCTTAGAGAAATTGGCGTCACTTGCACTTCAACGCTGTCCTCGGATGCGCTTGGTGAGTGCAATCCTGACATATCGTCTTCGTCTGCTCCACTGCAGAAACCAGCATCGCGTTCTGAACCTGCCATGACACCGGCTGTAACAAAAAACAAAATCCACACGTCAGTTACCGAGTTGTAATTACATGTTTCAGGTATAATAATAGGTAATCAAATATATTGAGTAAGAAGTTTAGAAAAAGATTAAGCTACTGGTTTTTATCGCGTGGCGATAAAATCGCGGTTTTTTTTCGTAATATTGCCCTTGGATTTAAGGACCAATTGAGTTTTATGAGGTTTTATTTTGGATCTTTGTATAGGGATCAAAAGCATGTCGAATAAGTCGAAGAGTTGTACGCTCCACAGGGACTTGAAAAGCAAAGGCAATAAAAGGAGCAAACGATCGGAGAGAGACGAGAGGTTGGCGCCAGCGCCATGTGGCGGTCGTGGCTGGGTGTTTTCGCTTTGGCGAAGATGATTCGAGTTTGGGCGCGAGAGAAGATGGGATAGGGAATTAGGGGAAGATACAAAACGAAAGGAATTGAGAAGAAGGAGAAAATAAAGGACATATCGGAGTCGATGAAAAGAGCGAGAGAAAGACCGCCAACGTTCTGTAATCGAGAAACCTGATGCCTCAACAACACACCATATAGGTCCCTCCTTGTTCGTTCGATAAATTACTGTCGCCAAGATCGATCGAAGCCAGTCAATTATTTATCGTTCGACGCGAGCAAGGCGGCGATCCTCTCGTTCCCAAAACCGTTGGATATATTTTCAAAGGGGTAAAAACTTTAACCAAATTCCAATTGAATAATAATGTCACCAAATTTAGTTTCTCACAGTCAGATTGTTAGTAGCAGAACCTTTCATTATTATAAATGTATTAAGTAATTTTGATAGTCTTAGAACATTCTTAGGACACTTGGCATATCTAGATGCTGTTAAGGGATATAATTTTGAAAAGAAAAATTCTTCTCCAACACATAACATGAGGGGAAAATTGTTTTTGCGAATTGAGTTTTGATATTATAACTTTATAATTGTCCAGAGCCCCTGCACGCCAGATGGTGGGCTGACTCATCACATGTTAGAAAACATCCCGTCAGTAGTATATAGTTGATATCGCGCCCACGGATTCCGCGGGTGAAAATGCGTCGGGACTCCCTGTAATGCGGTACTAAACTTAGAATAAACCTCTGAACGCGCACGTGTCCATGCTAAAGACGTCTTCGCAGCTTCCGCCGCATATAAAGAACACAGTGAAACGGCTGTTCTCTATCTGCTTTGCTCGCAACGATTTTATTTTTTGTAATGTCTCGCGCGCCTGGATTATAGGATTTACCAATCCGTAAACCTCAATGTATTACAAATGATAAAGCCCTGATTTTGGACTCGAAATTTTATGATGATTTAGAGAAAATAATAATTAATACTCAGAATATATGTTTAATGGGAAACAATTTCGGTTCTGATGAACAATCAGTATTGATTCTTTAAAGGCATCAACTGCACGAAATGTCGAAACAACGTTCTCGTTCCTATATAAGGAAAAGAAGAAGCGACAACACACACTCCCTTCGTGGAATATGTTTGCAGCTGCAATTCCAACGACTCATCACGATTTTAGATCTCTGGAACCGCAGTGTGATTCCATTTTCGTCGATCGTGGATTCGTGTTTCTTTGTTTTATTCAAGAATTTCTTCTTGGTAAAATTCAACTTTCAGGGGTATGAATAGTAATTTTGTTTTTCTCTTATTTTTTTTTTTAACACAACTGATTTTGAAGAATACTTTCGAAGAGATTGATAATGGATCACCCTAAACTTTTTCGATTATAATCAGCCTCGTAATGAACTTTGGCGATTGGCTCTATTTAACAAACCAGTTAAAGAGATGAGATCTTTTCATTCTTGGATTTTTGTTTCTCTTTTGAGAAATGTGGATTTTATTTTATAAGTTGAAAATTCAATACCAAAAGAGCGATAGACTTGATTATTCTAAAAGCATTTTGTTTCTACTCTTTAGTATATTGTTCTTCATTTAGCCAAATTGTCGCATTTGACCAAACATCGCATTTCAGTTAAATGGCAATTGTAGAATGCACACACTGATGTGTGTTCTTATAATTTGTATAATCGTCCCACGTTGTCTTTCAAATCATTGTTGCATCCTACGTACTTTTTGCAGCTGCTAATATCATTAAAAAATTATCTTCCAAAACGGTAAATGCATGAGTATATACAAAAGTGAAGTATCAAAAGTTGGTATGTGCAGCAAAAAAAAAATATATATATATAGGTAGGAAATGAATGATAAGGCCTTTTTTGGACACCTGGCGATCGTGAGAGTGCTCAAGCACCCGGATTTGTTATCGCGTGATAAGCGAAACGGGGGATTACGTCTATATCGAACATCTGCTGACTCGAGAGCGTTAATCGCGAACTCGCACGTGGAGCTTTACACGGGAACGTTTATACAATATGCGCTTCACACAATATAGATTCATAAAAGAATTGTATATATACAAATAGCGTTGTGAAACCGGATGATAAGAGTCTGCTATTGAGAGTGAGAGAGAGAAAAAGAGAGCTTCACTGCTATAGCGCATGTAGAAGTTCGAAGTCAATGCGTGGTCACCCGTCGAGGACCCCGAGGTCGCCGACAGGCGCCATTCAGGCATACGATCGATCTTTGCGTTCATAAACATCGAGAATGGCCCGACGGGAAAGATACGAACTTTTCACCCGACCTCGTCTCTTGTTCTTCTTCTTCTTCTTCTTCTTCTTCTTCACTAATACACATATATACACAAAAAGGAAGAGTGCATTCACGTCATCAAAAAAAAAAAAGAAAAATCCAAACACGTGGAGAGATCCGCAAATTGTTATATGCTATCTATAATGTTTGGCTCCACGTTCTCTCATTCGGCAGTTGTTCAAATAGTGGGACGAGAATAACTTGCGACATATGTGCAAACGCATAACCAATAGTCACACACTTATTTCCCTCTCTCACCCCGTTTAATTTTAGAACCATGAAACATTATTTGAGTATTGCGACCTACTGATCTTATTATTTTTTTTCCTTTATACAAAACACCTGCAAAGTAATAAATGTGTTGCTCTTTTCAAATAAAGATGGTTTTTAAATATAAGAAAAAAAAACAACTTTATCACACAAGAAATTTGAATTACGATTTTAATTTTTAATCCAATTTTACTCAATGAAATTAAAGTATCGCGTGATTGGAATTGTTTTATTTTTAATTAGAATATTTAATCAGCTTAATAATTTTACTATCCTTAGAAAATATCCAATTTTCTAAGGATAATTTTAGAATCATTTAATTGAAATCCCAACATGTATTTAAAAAAAAAATTATCTTTTTTTTTTCTCAACGATAATGATAAGAATAGACAATAAATGCCAAAAGGTGAGGAGAAAAATTATGAGATAAATTTTTATCATTGAAAAACTGACCTAGAATATAATTTTTTATTGATCGCGAATCTAATTGTTCCCTTTCAGTAGGTTATGTCTATAACATCCTAATAACAGGAAACTTATTTTTCTCCTTTTAAATATTGCATCAGAAATAATTTAACCTCGATAATACATATATAAATGTGTGAGGAAATTTGTTTTGGTTTAAAAAGGATGCACGTGGTCTGAAAAATGAGATCAGGGCATCGTCCCGTTTTGTGCGGGATGAGAGAGAGCAATATGTCTAGGCGACATATACACATGAGAATTAAATCAGAATTAATGACTACGATAACCGAACTGTCGAGTGATCTATGACCTTATATATGCCTATGGCGTATTTAGAGAGAGATGAAAAGATGAGAGAGAGGAAGATAGCAAAACCAATATCTTAAACGATTCGATAAGCGACTCGAACCGCGGACCTTTAGGCGTTGTACATGACAGGCGGTCGTCTGCTTTTGATAAATCACGAGCCATTCACTTTCTCTCTCCGTTCATCCTTCGATTTTTATTTTTAAAAAAACTCTTCACTATCTCTCACGTTCTTGAAAAAAACTTATCTGTTTCTTTTCAATCAGTGAATAAGTCAAATCAGTCGCTAAATTCCTAATATTTGAATCATTTCACTGATCCTCAGTAAAAAAAACGACTAATTCCGTTTCTGTTTGAAATAAAATAGAATTTAGCAACTGTTCAGTGACTTTTTCAATGATTCAAAAGAGTTGTTTCTTTTTCTATTATAATTGATTGTAACATTGAAAAATGTTTAAGGAAATATAATTAAATTGGGGGTGGCCTTTTATGTTTTTGAAATTAGAGGAAGTTTCTGTTACGACATATAACAGTCGACCTTGCCGTGCAGTCACGCCTTTTGCTCAGCATAATTTCAGTCCTTTCGAAGATGTGCGTGGAGATTGGAGATAATGACCGGCAATTTGCCGCCTTTTCACGCGATTCGGTCGCACTTCAGTTTCCTTGGCACGACAAACGTTCATCTGTCCCTTCTTTCAAACCTCTATTATAAAGAGTGGATATATAATCCCAGTGTTTTAATCTCGATTTCTCGCAGGTGCGCGAAGAACTTTATATTTTGTTCGATAACCACGAATTCATATGATCAATATCTATAGGGATAATGTTAATCCATCATCAGCTTTTCTTTTTGTGAAAAAAGAATTTTTATTCACAATTAATTGATTCTTTTGAAATATAATTTTTCTTTTCTTTTATGTGTAAATTTTTTTAAAATATTTGGTTCATTGAACCTTTTGCGATGCGGTAAATCCCAATGCGCAACATTTTATAATGTGATTCTTCAAGAATCGAGTATCGAATGCAAAGACTCTGTACATTTTGCAATTGAAAGAAAGCAAAACTTGTGCAATGTGCGTCGCAATGAATAAATCCAAAGCAATTTGAAAAGCGTTCCGTCACATCCGCTCGTAAATGCGAGACTACTTATACGCATTAATATGTCAACTCGAAAAACAGCGGAAGGTGAAAACCACGAGGTGCAAGTCAAGTATAATTTATAGGTTTAAATTTCCTTCCTGCATCAAATTTTCTTTTGAAAATCATAAATAATTAAGAATTCAGCTTCTGCTTTCGAGAT